TGGTGTAAGAAGTGTGGAAAGGTTGAAGGGGCAGATTGTGTTTGGAAGATCTCTGAATGCCAAGCAGAGGATTTTATATTTAATCTTGGAGGTAACAGGAAGCTATTCGAGTTTATTGAGTTAGAGAGGTGACATGTTGGATCTATGCTTTAGGAAAATAACTGACATCTGAATGGAGGATGGATTGGCATGGGAAAGAGACTTGAGGTAGTCATTGAAAACAGATGAGCTTTTCAAATGGAATGTAGGGTACAGGGGAAATCTCAAATTTTGGTCGCTTCAGAGATCTAGTCTTGACTTTCACAATTTGGATTCCCCAGTAAGACTAAAAACACTGCTTCCTCCCCGCAAAAAACTCATGTAAGACAATGCTTCAGGGGGATTTTGCGGAGTGGAAATGACTGAAGAGTTGTTTAGTGTGAGTGAAAGGAAATTTTCTCTCATTTGCAATAGTGTTCATTTTTGGATGCAGATGCTGAATGTTGGCAGAGCTGAGCAGTATAGTCCTAACACTTCACTTGACCTTCAATTTTCTGTGAAAGAGAGGAAGGGGAAATGGACTGAGGACCCCCTTTCTAATGGAGTAAGAGAATTAGCATTTATATAGCACCTGCAATGTGCCTTGTACTGTGCTAAGTGCTTTGCAAATATTATGTTATTTAATTTTCACAACAATTCTACCAGTTTGATAGGTGCTGTTTGTTATTATCCACATTTTACATTTGAGGAATTGAGGTAAACAGAGGCTAAGTGATTTGTCCTGGTTCTAAAAAGCTATTAAATGTCTGAGGCTATATTTGAACTCAGGTCTTTCTGACTCCAAGCCTAGCATTCTATCCACTGAGCCATCTAACTACCTCTTTTAAAATCACCTTTTTTAAAAAAGTATTAAAAATTTTTTCCCCAGTTATATGTAAAAACAATTTTCAACATTCATTTTTAAAACTTTGAATTCCAAATTCTCTCCTCCCAACCTCCTCCCTTATTGAGAAGGTAAGTATTTTGATATAGGTTATACATGTATAGTCATGTAAAACATATCCAAAATAGTCATGTTGTAAAAGAAAATAGACCAAAAAACCTCAAAAAAAAAGTAAAAAAAAATGTTTCAATCTGTAGGGATAGATAGCATTTTTCATCACAAGTTCTTCAGAGTTATATTGCTGAGAATAGCTAAGTCATTTACAGCTGATCATCTTACAATATTTTTGTTACTTTGTACACAGTACATTTCACTCTACGTCAGCCCATGTAAGTCTTTCCAGGTTTTTCTGAGAGTATCTTGCTAATCATTTCTTATAGTACATTAATATTCCATCATAATCACATATCACAACTTGTTCAGTCATTCCTCAATTGATGGGCATCCCCTCAATTTCTAATTCTTTGCCCCCAGAAATGAGCTGCTATAAATATTTTTGTGTATATATAGCTCCTTTTCCTTTTTGTTTTTTATTTCTTTTGGGATACAGACCTAGTAGGCATTGCTTTTATACATGCTTTTATAGCCCTTTGGTGTAGTGCCAAATTGCTCTACAGAATGGTTGAATCAGTTCACAACTCCACCAACAGTGTATTAATGTCTCATTTTTCCCAACATCTCCGTCAACATTTGTCATTTACATTTTCTGTCCTATTAGCCAATCTAATAGGTATGAGAGGTAGTACCTCAGAATTGTATTAATCTGCATTTCTCCAATCAATAGTGAGAACATTTTTTCATATGGCTATAGATAGCTTTGATTACTTCATATGAAAACTAATCATATCTTTTGATCATTTATCAATTGAGTAATGGCTCTTATTTTTATAAATTTGACTCAGTTCTTTATGTTTGAGAAATGAGACCTTTATCAGAAAAACTTGCTTCAAAATTTTTTTCACAGTGACTACTGCCAACTGTATTTTCCTCCATCCTATCTTGCCTCCTGGTAAAATCATCTTTCTTTAGCTTATTTTCCACATCAGCTGTTTTTGATTTAATATTTCTTACATTTTCTTATGTTTTTTCAATTTTTAAATTTTGGTCTAATATTTATTGCTGTCTTGTGGAGTCATTGATTTCTGCTTGATCTAAGTTTTCAAGGATTCTGTTTCATGGGTAAGGTTTATCACTTTCTCTTCTGAGCTCTTTCCAATGTTTTTCTCAAAAGTTTTCACTTAATTTTTTTTATGTCTTATTACATTTCTTCTTGATATTCATGTAGTTCTTGTGAAATATCCACTTTTTCCCCTTTGAATCTCTGCTTTTGGTTGATACAGAGGTAGATTTGTAATAATTTTTATAACAGTTGGTATATTTTTTGGCTTAATCTCTCCAGCTTTAGTTCTTGAATTGGGGTTTTGTGCCAGGGCATAGGCTCCACCTCCTATTTTGCACTTTTTTGGTGATGTAGTCAGCCCTACTTGGTCTTGTCCTGGGTCCCCTGGGCTCTTATGCTGACCTCTTACTTTCTGAGGTTCCTCCCTAATGTCTCAGGACAGGTTTCAGGGACATCAGATCTCCTGGGCTTGACTGTCCTGAATGCTGTGTCATGGTTACTGCCCACTGCTGCTTCCTGTTGTTTCCATGGTTCCAATCCTGAGACTTTCTGACCACATTTGGGCTTTCTCAGGGGAAACTTTTGCTCTCTCTGTCTCCTGACACAGACCCTTGAAGGCTACATGTGTCCTATCTCTGATTTTCCTCCTGCTCACCTTGTAAGTCTGTCCTCCTTTCCTATTGCCCATGAGCTTCTGACTGACCTCTTGTGCCGTTCTGGGGTGGAAGAAGTCACTGTAATTTCTCATTTGGATTTAACAAATTATTTGATTTGTTGCAAACTTCGGAGTTTTGCCGGAGTACACATAGGAAACTGGGAGGCCTGACTTACATTCAAAACATACTCTTTGGTGGGCAATTGTGTCAATTGTAAAGGCTTTAAAGTATTTGGGCAGGAAACTTGTATCCAACATCTACTGAAGGTGACTTCAGGGAATTGAAGGAATCATGAATATGAGATACCTTAGAGAGTATCCAATTTAACTCTTACTATTTTACAGATGGGGAAACAGGCCCAAAGAGGTGGTACCTGACTGAAATTTGGAAGTCTTAAGTTCTGTTCTCAGCTTATGCACAGATTCTCTGTTGAGCCTTTAGACAAATTGTTTTCCTTCTTTGGACCTCAATTTTGCCATTTATAGAGTGAAGGGATTGGACTAGATAACATAAAAAAGTCTTCTAGCGTTAACGTTTTGAGATTTTTCAACTTAATGGTGAAGCTGGACTTAGGATAAGGGACCCTGATTTTTACAAACCAGCATTCTTTTCTCAGCACTAGATATTTGCAGTATTAATGATGAGAGTGTCACCTCCTTTGGAAAATGGTATACACTATGTCCCTATTTTTAATACCTCAGAGATAAACGTTATTGAAACCTAGATCAATCAGCCTCTGTTTTTAATCAAACTAGAGAAATTTTAAAAAAGAATCATCTTCCCTCTTCTGGTCCCAGAATGAACATTTGTTCATTCGCTTGTTCTTCCAAAATAGGGAGCAGCAATAAGGGATGATAAGTGATTTCTTTGAGCTGGGCTTTTAGCCCATCTCTCTCTGACCCCCAAAGTTCTATGTCTGACTTTCAACCGCTTGGCCTCTCTTTCAACTGCTTAGGCCCCAAGCACTAGGGCCTGAATGTTGGCTTGTAATTAATGGATGGCTCTGTCTTCTAAAGACGGCCACTTTAGGATCCAGGTCAGGGAATGATGCTGATCTCCCTCCTTACAGTCTGCTTGTTTCGTAGCCGTTGGGAAGCCAGCCATGTTCCAGACTCTGATGTGCCAATTACCCAAGGGTACTAACACCACTTTGGGTTAAAAACACTCTTTGTATCATTTGCTGTCATTCACCCCAGCCAGGGAGGCTGGAGGTGTGGGAGGTGGTGGGGCCTAAGCAGTTATTATAATTATATTAATTGAAGTTTAAATGAGTCCTTAACAGGGAAGCAGTCTTTAGTGCTGAGAACCCCAGCATGCAGTGCATTCTTGGCTTCCTTCCCTTTATTAATTAAAAACTCCTTTACAGCACTCTGCCTTCCACCTAAGTGCAGTAAATCTCCACCTTAAGGAAATAATTTTCTTGTTGTATTTTGTACAGAGAAGTCCTGTTAGCTGACTGCCATGCTGTTTCTGTTCATCTGCATTTTAGTTTGGAAAACAAACTTTTAAACTCCAGGTTGCTTTAAGGCAGGGGTGCTTAACCATTTTGTGTGTGTGATGGGTCCTTTGGTAGTCTGGTAAAGTCTATGGACCTCTGCTCAGAATAATTTGTCTTAATTTTAAAAAATCTTTTAAAAATGTTTTTATTTTCTATCACAACTGAAGGAAATGCTAAATTTCAGTAAGAGGTTAGTGAAAATAAAGACGCAATTTTTTTCCCATCCAAGTTTACAGATTCTCCTGGAATCTATCCATGGACCATCTGTGGACCTCAAGTTAAGAACCCTTCCTCTAGTAACTTTGATAGACTCAGCCCTTCTCAGCAATTCAAGGCTCTAAGACAGCTCCAAAAGACTCAGGATGGAAAAGACTTTCCACATCCAAAGAAAGAACCATGGAGTTGGAATGCAGATTGAAGCAGACTATCTGCTCTTTTTTTCTTCTGTTTTGTTTTGTTTCTTCTTTCTTGTGGTTCCTTCTATTGATTCTAATTCTTCCTTACAACATCACTAATGAGAAAATATGTTTAATAGGAATGTATATGTAGAGCCTGTATCAGATTGCGCACTGTCTTGGGGAGGGAGGCGGGAAGGGTGGGAGAGAAAAATTTAAAACTCAAAAGCTTATGGAAGTGATTGTTGATAAATCAAAATAAATTAATAAAAAAAAAAAGAAATGCTTACTTCCTTAGCTGGCCTGGGTCTAGACTGGGTGAACTTTGAGGCTTGCTTTTAGTTCTGAGGGGGCTTGTTTAGCCTGGAAACCTCCCTTGCCTTACTCTTCTGTTCTTCCTTTTTCACAGACTTTGATCACTGCATTGGGACAGACAATCTGCACTGTGGCTTCCGTCATGATCCTGCTGTTCCTGCTAATGTTCATCTTTGCCATCTTAGGCTTTAGTCTGTTCGGATCAAGCGATGGGGGTGACTTGAATAACTGGGGAAACCTTGCCGTGGCCTTCTTCACCCTTTTCAGCTTGACCACGGTAACTGTGTGTGAAGCTTTTTTGAGGAAACTGGTCCCCAGGGCAGGGATCAGGATCCCTCCTCTACAATGGTCTCAGACTTACTTGTAGAGTAGGTTAAGTCAGTCCTCAGAGTCTTTCTGCCTTCCCCTGGTTTTCCAGTGCCCTCACGTTCCCAACACTCCCCACCATGCAGTACCCTACTTAGGCCTGCTATCCTTTCTACCTCCCATACCCCAGCCTCAGGGCCTTTCCTGACTATTTATTCCCATGCTTCTGTGCCCTGTTCTCCCCAGCACTCCTATACCAATCTAATTCATGCTTTACTATTTAGTGGCAATAGTGATTACCTGTTATATTTTCCCAGTAGCATGCTGTCCCTTCCTGGGCAACACGTCGAATAGAATACAGCCAACAATGATTAAGCTCATTCTCATTTGCAGAGCGCTGTGCTAGGCCTAAAAGGGCAGGGGATGTTCAGATTCAAACTTTAGATAAGGGAAACTCTGCTCTCTTGGAAAATAAGATACCAACACAGATGTCTGTAGTATTACAATATTACATGATAAAGTCATCTAAGAAGTACAAAACAAAGTTTTCTGTGATGGAAAGGAAACATCTTATGGCCAGAGGGGATTAAATGGATTTCCTGGAGAAGGTGACATTTGAGTTGGACTTTAAAAGATGAGTGAGGATTTAAGAGGTGGAGTGAAGGAGGGAGAGCAGCAGGTCCTTTTGTTATGTCTACCAGTGGGAATTGGAGGAACCGAGACTGTTGGGGAGGGCATAATAAGCTTCTGTTCCTTCTTTTCATCACTCTCTTAGCACCCAGTTTCTTTCTTCTTTTGAGAATATTGGGGTGAAAGGCAAGAGATAAGAGCCATCCGCGGAGCAGAATTAACATGTTAACCTGAAAAATGTCTGAGGTAGCTCTCACAGTCCTATTAACCTCACTGGCTGGGTAGGCATTTATATGATATGGGAAATATATGTAAAGCTGTTGTAAATATGCTCTATCAGCATAATCACCTTGGCTCTAATTAAAGACAAAATCTTTCAAATGCGAAGTTGTGTTATGAAAATGATGCTTCCCCTCACTGTCCATCTTTCTTGATTCATAGTGGGGGAAAAAAAGCATTAGTTTTGGATTCAGAGGATCTGGGCTCAAATCTGGCCTCTGAAGTTTGCTCCCCATATGACTTTGGGCAAGTCGCTTACCTTCTTGGGCCTCAATTTACCCACCTACCAAAGGAGTTGGATTAGGTAGCTTCTGAAGCACCTCCTAGGTATAGCTCTATGATCCTATATATTAGGTTGTTAAGAGAAAGTTCTCAAAAAGGAATCAACTGATTTCCTTTAATTGAAAAAAGTAATTGCATGCTAAATTGCTTTTCTAGGAAGGAAAATGAATGTCAATAAAACCAGTGGGGGCATCATAGTTCCCAAAAGGTTGGCACTCATGGTCTGACTTCTTAAAGTTATTTGATGTCAGTTGGTCCCTAAGGTTAGCTGGAGTAAGAGTTTGGTTATGTAAGCTAGTAAGGGTTATGGGTCTGAGCCAGATTTGAACTTAGGTCTTCCTGAATCCAGGACTGGTGTTCTATCCACTGCGCCACCTAGCTGCCCCTGGGGTAAGAGCTCTTAAACAAATTTCTGTTTCCTCGAGTATTGAGACGCTTTGGGCAGAGGGATAGCACTTTCTGTCTCAAGAGTATAGTGGCACAGTACGTGGCCCAGTGGATAGAGCACTGGACTTGGAGGCAGGAGGATCTGAGTTAAAATTTCACCTCAAGACAATTACTAGTTGTGTGACCCTGGGCAAGTCACTTAACTCCTATCCCCTCAGTTTCTTCATCCCAGGGTTGTCATGAGAATCAAATGAGAAAATGTTTGTGAAATGTGTTATAAACATTAAAGTGCTATATAAATGTTAACTATCATCATCAGCATCATAAATTATTTGTTGACTCAGAAGTACTCTTATGGGAACAATGAATTCTCCCAAAGTCCAGTGCTTAGTTCCCGGAATGTATTTAACTAACAATTAGTCCACCTGAAGATCTGAATAGTGCAGAGAATTTAATTGATTCAAATAGCTATTATTAGAGACTTTTTTTCCATTCCACTAAATGTTCCATCTTTAGTTCCAGATGACCCAGGGAAAATCCTCTTCTGTGAATAAAAGACCTCAGATATGGGATTCAGAGGCAGGGAAAGGGAAAGGCTCACCAGAGGCCAAGGGTTTGGATGAGAAAGCTTTTGAAAATTCTGGCTCTGGGACTGTAGGATTCTGTTCTTCCTTCCAGGTGGATGGCTGGACGGATCTTCAGAAAGACTTGGATGAGCGGGGGTTTGGTCTGAGCAGGGCTTTTACCATTTTCTTCATCTTGTTGGGCTCCTTTGTGTTCCTCAGTATGTTTGTGGGTGTCATGATCTTTCACACAGAGGTGAGTTCTAATCCTATCATCTCCTTCAGAGAATACTAGGGAGTGGGGGTGGTGGGAGCCTGGTTAGTAGGCAGAAAACAAGATTCTGTCTGGAACACTCACATAGATGCTTAATTAAGTCCAGAAAGAAATTAGGGGTGAGTTAGAGGATGCTTGAAGTTAGAGAAATACATGTAGGTGTGAAAAGGTGTTTTTATGAAGGGGATGCTCTCTTTTTGTAAGGCACTGAGCCCTGTCTTCCTCTGAGAAAGATGGGGAGGGGTGCGGAATAGTGTAGCAGTCCTTAGTCCTTGCTGTTTGGACCATGGTGGGAGGACAAGGTTTGTGAGACAGTGTACAACTAGCCCTTTTCCAACTCACATCCCCTAACCCTTCAGGGTTAGGGGATGTGAGTTGGAAAAGGGCTAGTTGGCATGGTGTAGAACGCAAGGTCCTGAGGGCCTGGGCAATAAAGAAAGCCCTGGGTGGCTACTAACTCCTTCATTTCTGAAAAGGTAAGTAATTGAGTAAACATTCTGCTACATTGTATGTTTAGAGAATGGGGCCTTCTGCTTAGTATGAGATACTTTTGTCTAGAATTAGTATGTATAACAGGCACATAATCACAAAATGGAGGTGACTTTAGAAACCATAGTCCAATATTTTGATTAAAAGATGAGAAAGCTAAGGTCCTGAGGTAACAAATGAGAGTCTTACAATGAGTTAGTAGCAGAGCTGAGGTTAGAATTAAGACTTCAATGTTGAGCTCCTTCCAGTGCACCAAAGTTGTTTTCCCCTGATTTACCAGTTTTTAAAGACTCAGCATATACTAGAGTATACTTAATCATTGTGCTCTGAGGGTTCAGAAAATTTCTGAGCTTAGCCTGGACCCTATGCTTTGAGGGATACATGTGGTAGAGACTACGCATAAGAAGGGTAGAGAGTTAGGGTAGCAAGCAGCAGAAAAAGTAACAGAGAAGTGCAGAGATTTTACCATTTTCAGAGGCAGAGATCTTCAGGACTTTTACCAGGGAGCAGAAAGAAGTGACATGAAGGCATTTCTTCCTCTAAAGTTTAGACCCTCTTATAATCACAGCAGGTTGATGACTTTACAAAGGTCACTGCTCTTATCTAACAAGGGCCATTGTCATACCTAACTTTCTACCATGGTGTAGTGAAAAGTATTTTGGGTTTGGAGCCCGAAGAGCAAGGTTTAGATCTCAGCTCTTCAGCGAAGTTCACAGACAAGAGAGAGTCACCAAACCTAAACTCCTTTGTGTGAGGTACTGTCCTAGGTACTAAGGCCAAAAGACAAAACAAAACAACTCCTGTCCTCAAGGTGCTTATCATCTATGTGCCGCTAGACAAATATATTCCCCTTTCTGAACCTGTTTCCTCATATGAAATGAAGGGGTTGGCCTACTTGTTCTCTAAGGTCCCTTCCGGCTCTAAAGTTTTGTTATCTAATGATAGAATCTGTTCTTGGCCTGATTAGGATTCGATCAAGAAATTTAAAAAGGAATTGGAAAATGAGCGACACGTGGCTCTTCTACAAGAGAAACAAAACATCCTGAAGAAGCAGCAGGAAGAAGTCAGCAGACTCATGCAGAAAGGGGTACGTAATATTAATGGAAGGTGAAATCAGATTAGATGGTATTATCTGTGGTTAGCCTGGGCAGAAAAGGAACATGGCAGAAGGCTTGTGACATATAATTTCAACCTGGATATCTACATGAGCAATTTTCCTTCTCTATTTTTAAAAATCAGAGGCAGTTAGAGACAATTATTTAGGATATCTAGACTAATAATGTTAATGCTGTTTTTTTAAATTACAAAGATCACAGAATTATAGAATCTCAGTTGAAAGGGCCCTCAAATTATACCTAGTCCAACCTATATGCATACAGGAATCCCTTGTAACTGAGTGAATTTAGAAGTTGAAGAGCTGAGCGGCATCTAAGGGGATTTCCCAGTCATTCTCTTGCTCAATTTGGGAATGACCCCTCTGCAATCTATGACAATCCCTGCTGGAAAACTTTGAGGGATGAAGAAATTGCTAACTTAAGAGTTTAGCTGATTTCATTGTTGAACAGCTCTAACTGTTAACATGTTTTTTCTCACACTCAGCCAATATATGATTCCTTGTACTCTCATTCTAAATTCTACCCTGGGCAGCTAGATGGCACAGTGTCAGGGCCTGGACTCAGGAAGACTTATCTTTCTGAGTTCAAATCTAGCCTCAGACACTTACTAGTTGTGTGACCCTGGGCAAGTCACTTAACCCTATTTGTTTCAGTTTCCTCATCTGTAAAATGAGCTGGAGAAGGAAATGTATCTTTGCCAAGAAAACTCCAAATGGGGTAATGAAGTCAGACACTATTGAAAAATGACTGAACAATATCAAAAACAAAATAATAAATCTAATTTGTCTTCCACCTAATGGCCCTTTAAACATTTGAAGAAAATTATTATGGATTATATGCCATATTAATATTCTCCTCTCTGGGTTGTTCTTATTTTGGAGACACTCCACCTTGACAGTCCCTGTATTAAAATGGAATGCCCATTTTAAACTCTATACTTCAAACATGGTCTGACCAGGGCAAAGGTAGGACTGTCACCTTACTTATCCTGGACACAATGCTATTCTATTAATTAATTAACACAATTCTGTTAATTCAGCCTAATGTTTCATTAACTTTTTGATTACTACACTCTATGATTGGTTCATATTCATGATCATAGCTAGGTTTTTTTTTTCACATGAACTCTTGTTAAGCCAGATCTCAAGTACTTATAAAGTTGATTTCATGACTACATGTATAAATCTATATTATAATACATAGATATTCATTTCCATACATAATTTGAGCCTGCTAAAGTCATATTGACTCCTCATTCTGTCATGCAAAAGAATATTATTAGTGATTCCTCCTAGCCTTGTTGTCTATGAAAATTTGAAGAGCGTGCCACTCATTCCTTCATCTAAGTAAGTGACAGAAATGTTGGACAGACAGGGGCCAAGAATGGACACCTGCAGTACGCTGCTATTCGTCCCCCTTAAGGCTGATATAAATCAACACCGAAGAAAACAATATGCCTTTAAAAGCCCTTTTTAAATTATTATTGTTCTTAGAATTTTTCTCAATCTTCAGCTCACTATGGGATATTACCCTCCTGAAGAGGCAGTATAGCAGAGAGAATAGAGCACTGAATTTGTAGTTAGGAAGATTTGGGGTTCAAATTCCTCCTCAGGTGTCTGCTAGCTGGGCAATTCAGTGCCTCAATTTTCTCATCTGTAAAATGTCGAGATTGGATTTGATGGCCTTTAAAATCCCTTCCAGCTTTCAACCTACTATTCTGAAGGTTTTTTTAAAGTTGTATTGATTCCTTTAAAAATATTTTATTTATTTTAATCAGCCAAAATCCACCTTCTCCCACCCCATCCTCCCCAGCCCCCAATTTTTAACACAAGAAAACAAAACCTATTCCAAACATGTATCAGAACCACTTTGCACATTACTCATGCCTCCTAAAAATTTATATTTTGAGTCCTTCACCTCATCAGGAGATGGCTAATATGTTTCATCATTAGTCCTCTGGAATTGTGGTTGATCATTACATCAAGAATTTGGCAAAATAGTATTCCAGAATATTTATTTGCCATAACCTGTCCATTGATTCCTCAGTTTATAGGTATTCCCTTAGATTCCCATTCTTTGCCAACTTGAAAAGAGCTATGGATTTTTTTGCACATCCTACGGGGGCACTTAGGACTAATCCTTCCCTTAATCTATTTCCTCTAATTCCCCTTCCCCTCTTCACCCTTTCCCTCCTATTTCCCTGTTGAATGAAACTTTTTGTGTGCCCAACATGTGTGTATGTATGTGTGTCCTCTTTTTTTTTTTTTTGGCTAGGCAGTGGGGGAAAGTGACTTGCCCAGGGTCACACAGCTAGTAAGTGTTATGTGTCTGAGGCTGCATTTGAACTCAGGTCCTCCTGAATCCAGGGCTTGTGCTCTATTCACTGTGCCACCTAGCTGCCCCATGTGTGTCCTTTTTTTGACCACTTCAGATGAGAGTGAGGTTCAAGTCTCAGCCACTCCTCCCTCCTCCTTGTTTGTGGAGATGTCTACGAGTACACTCTGATTGTGTGAGATGCTTTTTCCTAATCTTATTTTCCCTTCCTGCAATTGTATTTCTCTTCCCTTCTTTTTCCATTTTTTGCTTAGGATAATTAAGGCATAACAGAATCACTACTAGACCTTCTTTAATTGCATTTCCTTAATGACCGCTGATGATATTAGGGTTCAGAGGGGACACATGTATCATCTCTCCATAGTTTAATATAAACAGTTTATTCTTGTTAGTCCCTTTAATCATTGTCCATCTTTTCACATTTTTCTTCACTTCTGTGTTGAACCTCAAAGTTTCTATGAAGTTCTGGCTTTTTCATAAGAAATCGTTGGAAATCCTCTATTTAATTAAAGATCAACTTGTCTTTCTTTCCGTAGCATTATACTCAGTTTTGCTTGGTAAGTTGTTGGCTACTGGCTCATATCTTTTGCCTTCCGGAATTTTGTATTCCAAGTTCTATGCTTCTTTATAGTTGTGGCTGCTAAATAACGTGTGACCCTGACCATGGTTCATTGGTATTTGAATTTTTCTTTCTGGCTGTTGGCAGCATTTTGACCTGGAAACTCTGAATTTTGGATGTACTTGGGTTCATTTTGGGGTTTCTTTCAGGAGGTGACTGGTGGATTCTTTCTATTTCCACTTTGCGTTCTGGTTCTAAGAGATATGGTAGTTTTTAGATTTCTTGAAATAGGATGCCTAGGCTTTTTTTTTTCATTTGACATTCACATTCAGATAGTCCAGTGATTCTTAAATTATTTCTCCTTGATCTGTTTTTTAGGTCACTCGTTTTTGCTATGAGATGCATTATATTTTCTTCTTTTTTTTAGCTTTTGGAATTTGTTTTAGTATTTCTTGTTGCCTCATAGAGTCTATTTAGGCCATTCTAGTTTTCAGGGAGTTTGTTGCTTGGATAAGATTTGTCCTCTTGTGTCAAGCTGTTAATTCACTTTCCAATTCCTTGTTTCATAACTGTATTTTTTTTTCTTTTTTGGTGAGGCAATTGGGGGTAAGTGACTTGCCCCACTAGTAAGTGTCAAATGTCTGAGGCCAGATTTGAACTCAGGTCCTCCTGACTGCACCACCTAGCTGCCCCCATAACTCTCATTTCTTTTTCCATTTTTTTCCCCCTCAAGCATTCTCATTCAATTTATAAAAACTTTTAAAAATTCTTGCTTCATTTCTTCAGGAAATTCTAGTTTGTGCCCAAACTGTGTTTTTCTCTGAGACTCTGCTTGTAGATATTTTGGAGTCTTTCTCTTCTTTCAGGTTTGTGCACTGAGCTTCTCTTCCAGCCTTATTGTTCTTTACAGCACATTTCTTTTTTCGTTTGTCTGTTTGCTCATTCTTCCAGCCTACTTCCTGACTTTAGATTTGATGTTAGGACTGGACTCAGCTGCACTTCTGGAGGAAAAGGTCTGGGCTGGTCCTGTTGCTGTTTTCTTGGGGCATTGAATACTGTTGTTTTAGGATCTCAGAAAAAGGAGGACCTGAGACAGCTGGGGACCTGACAGCTTTCAGTGCTCCTAAAGCAGTCGACCAGGGCAAAGTCTGTTTGCTGCCCACCGTGGTCTGAACTCTGTTACTTCCTGACCTGGGCTAGAGCATATTCTAAGCAAGAGTATGCTGTTGCTGAATTCAGTCCCTATTAGCTAGCTGACAACCTCTGCTGGTTCAGAGTGGCAGAATCATAAACTCTTCTTTGGTCTGGGATTCCTATGCTAGTTATTCTTTTGCAGGCTGCACTAGATGCTGGAAATGAGACCCTACTCTGTTGCCTGGGGTCTGAGCCACACTGCTACTGTTTCCTACCTACCTCGGAACATTACCCTGATGCTCAGGTCCCCTTCTCAATCCTCTCTGAATCTACCCAGAACTGAGTAGTAGGCGACTAAGTTTCTAGTTTGCACCTCTCCCTACAGTGCTAACTGCTAAATCATGTGTAATCCCCTTTCTGGTGTGCTGCTTCTACCTGAGCACTGACAATTCTTCCTGTCTGTTTCCCAGTGATGAGCTGGGCTGGACAAAGGACTCACTGTGACTTTTTCTGTATTTCCCTGTCAGGATTTAGTTTAACATATTTTCTAGATCTGTTTAGAGGAATTTTGTGTAGGGAGGCTTTTAGCATATTGCTTCCTTCCACTCTATCATCTTGGCTCTGCGTTTGATTTTTATCAGTTATTTCTCAACTACTATTTCCCCACCACCGTTGAATGCTCCTTGTAACAAAGAAAAACAGTTAAGCAAAACCAACCAATAAAATAAACATAACTGACAGTGTATGCTACGTTTTTATCCTGACCTCTCAACCAAGAAGACAGAAATATCTTTTGTCATCTATTCTCTAAGACTAAGATTGGTCATTGCATTTAATCTGAGCTTAGATGCCTTTACGGGTTTGAGTTTATTACTGCATTACCTTACATTGACTTATTTAGTCTTTTTTTAAATGTCATTTTCCTGGTACTGCTTACTTTACTCAGTAGCAGTGGATACAAGTCTTCCCATGATTCACTGAATTCCTCTCATTTGTCCTTTCTTGGGCTATATTTATTACTGGTATTCCATTTCATCCAATTGTTCAGCATTTCCCTAATTAATGGATACTCACTGTAATTCCAATTGTTTATGTCACCACAAAAAATGCTGCTGCAAATATTTTGGTATATATAAAAACTTTCCCCCCCCACCCTAACAGCACTCTATAGGTTCATTACATTCTTCTGTCTTTTTCTGTGGCTAAATGCCATTGGTTTCACCTTTTATACATTTAAGCCTTAGGTAAACACAAGATAAGATAATAAAGAAATACTCTTGGGACCTACCAAGGGTAGAAGGAGGCAGGGAGTCACAGAAATGCATTACAAAGGCAAGTAAAAGGGATATTTGGATTTTATACAGTTTGAGTAGCACAATGACCCTCCTTTAGGTGTGGATAGCTTACACTTAGCATTTTAACCCTTTGGTCTAAATGGAATTGTTTAATTACATTTAATAGAGGGCCACAGAAAAATAGATTAAAAGTTAATTGGAAGATAAATAATCTAATCCTAAAGAATAATTGAGTCAAAATCATCAAAACAATCGATAATTTCATTAAAGAGAATGATAACAATGGGGCAACATACCAAAATTTATGGGATACAACCAAAGCAGTACTTGGGTGAAAATTTGTATCTCTAATCTTACATCAATAAAATAGAGAAAGAGCAGATCAATGTATTAGATATACAACTAAAAAAATTAGAAAAAGAAAAAATTAAAAACCTACAATTAAACACCAAATCAGAAATCTTAAAATCAAAGGAGAAATGAATAAAATTGAAAGTAAGAAAGCTATTAAACTAATAAATAAAACTGAGTTGGTTTTATGAAAAAAAACACAATAAAATAAATAAACCATTGATGAATATGATTTTAAAAAGAAAGAAAAAACTAAATTACCAGTATAAAAAGTGAAAAGGGTGAATTCATCCCAATGAACAGGAAATTAAAGCAATTATTAGGAACTATTTTGCCCTATTGTATGACAATAAATCTAACAATCTAAGGGAAATGAGTGACTATTTACAAAAATATAAATTACATAGATTAACAGAGGAGGAAATAGAATCTTTAAATAAACTTATCTTACAAAAAGAAATCAAACAAGCTGTCAATGAGCTCCCTAAGAAAAAATCACCAGGACCAGATGAATCCACAGGTGAATTCTGCCAAACATTTAAAGAACAATTAATCTCAATACTATATAAACTATTTGGAAAAATAGATGAAGGAATCCTACAAAATTTCTTTTGTAATACAAATATGGTGTCGATACCTAAACCAGAAAGAGCTAAAACACAGAAAGAAAACTGTAGGCCAATTTCCCTAATGAATAGTGATGAAAAATTTTTAAATAAAATACTAGCAAGGAGATTATAGCAATATATCACAAAGATATACACTATGACCAAGTGGGATTGTACCAGGAATGTAGGGCTGGTTCAATATTAGGAAAACTATTAGCATAATAGACCATAGCAATAAACAAAAACAACAAAAATTACATGATTATTTCAACCAATGCAGACAAAGCTTTTGACAAAATACAACACTTATTTCTATTGAAAACACTGGAAAGCATAGGAATAAATGGAGCTTTCCTTAAAATGATAGGTAATATCTATTTAAAATCATTAGCAAGCATTATCTGCAATGGGGGTATACACTAGAAGCCTTCCCAATAAGATCAGAGGTGAAGCAAGGACACCCATTATCATCATTATTATTTAATATTCTATTAAACATGGTAGCTATAGCAGTATGAGAAGAAAATGAAATTGAAGGAATTCAAATAGGCAATGAGGAAACAAAACTGTCACTGTGCAGATGATATGATGGCAAACTTGGGAAATCCTGGAGAATCAACTAAAAACTCATTGAAATAATGAACAACTTTAGCAAAGTTGCAGGATGTAAAATAAACCCACACAATCGTCAGCATTTCTATATATTACCAACAAAATCCAGCAGCAAGAGATAGAAAGAGAAATTCCATTTGAAATAACTGCAGACCATATAAAATACTTGGTAGTCTACCTGTCAAGACAAACCTAAGAACTATATGAAGACAATTACAAAACACTTTTTACGCAAATAAAGTCAGATCTAAAAAGAATTGTTTACATATTCATTTAATTAATTGTGCCATAGGAGTCCAACATGGTATCTTCTAATGTTTTTCTCTGTCTCTCTCTCTCTAGACAAACAGTGAATATAAAACTTTCAGTGAGCTGGTGAAAGGTTTTAAGAAGACTCTGAGACATTCAGACCCCATGGTCTTGGAAGATTTCTGTACCACCCTTCCCTTCATTGATATTTACTTGTCAACACTGGACAACCAAGATAATACTATTTCTAAGTAAGTCTTCAGCACTTGGGTCATTAGATTCAAATTTACTTCTTCTAGCCCAAACTGACCAAATAACCTAGAACCCCTTTCATTTCCAAGAGAGCTTCAAAGTATTTAAGTGCATACATTATGCTAGGTACTATGCTAAGTGATAGAAGTAGAAAAAGCAATAACAGTCCCTGCCTACAAAGAGCTCACATTCTAATGGGGGAGACAATACATAAATAATTGGGTTCAAAGAAGATATATACAGATAGAAGATGATCTCAGGCTTCCTGTAGAAGGTGGAAACTAAGTGGAGACTAGAAATTCCAGGCAGAGGGAGAGTATAGAAAGGCATTGGTGATGGCAGATAGAAACACCAAGTAGCCATTGTAGCTGGGTCACAGGGTATGAAGAGGGGAGTAAGACTTTCAGGGTAGGAAGGGGCTAGGTTATGAAGAGCTTTAAATGCCAAATTTTAAATTTAATCCTGGAAGTAATAAGTATCCTTTTTATTCTTCCCACTTCTACCCTCAGTATGACCAACTGGGCATTTCTAGACCATAATTTGCCCTATTTCTCCTTGTAATACCCTACTTTCCCCTTATCTGTCTTTCAGTGTTATGGAAAAAGACTAGGTTGGTAGCAAACACACATGCCACTAACTCATTATGGGAATGTAGACCAGCTGCTTAAACTCTCTGCTTCTCAGTACCCTCTTCTATAAAACAATAATCCACCATTGAAAAGCAGTTTTCGTCCAGTGTCCCCCTACTTTCCCAGCAACATTTCCTTAGCAGTAGAGAGAGATCATTAAAAACAGAGGTAATTGATTTTGATTGTCAGTGTATGTGAGTGAGCGTATAGAGTTGTGACAGCTACTTGCCTTCACTTGTGGGTGAAGGATGGCAGTAACTCTGTGGAATTAGTCAGATTGAGCTTGTCAAGAAATTTTCACCTTCTATCTCCAGGACACTGGTGGTTTCTGGGTGATAGGACTCCATTGCGGGAAATCCTTCTGTCCTTTCCTGTGGACTTATTCTGCCTATATTCTTCACTGATGAGGATTAATGGGGGCCATTCAGGAAGATGCTTGGCAGTGGGGCATCATAAGATTTAGAGTTGGAAATGACCTTAGGGGATCATCAAATTCAACCCACTCATTTACAAATGATATGTTTAAATCATGTACTTTGTAGGTTCTCCCTAGCAGCTCTGCATAAAGGAGATGGTTCCAATACACAGGGTTTATTAAGTATCTAAAATGTGCTTGGCATCATGCTAGGTGCTAAGGATATGACACCCTCATGGAGCTTATGTTATGGCAGGGGAGACAAGTAGAACTGCAGAATCTTTGAATTTTCAAGTTGGAAAGACCCTTAAAAGTAATTTAGTATAACCTCCCAGACTTCCATTGTCATCCAGGACTTGTCATCCCTGCCCCTTGAATCTCAAGTGACCTGTGTTCTTCCTCCAAGTAGGTGAAACAATGTGCTACTGTGTACCAGTAGAAGAGGGCTTCACCCAAATAGTAGAGGTGCATGCAGCTGGGGTCTTAGGTTGAGGCCTTTGTTCTTGTTATTGTCAGTTAGTGACTCTAATGGTAGGAATTTCTGTCTCTATGGTATGGTATGGTATGGTATGGCAGTAGTAGTCACAACTTTATGGAAAGATGCAAGCCTTTTAGAGGAAGGAAACAAGAAAGAACAGCTTGGAGAAGGTGGGGTTCATGGCAGTTGAGCTTTCATTGATGTCATGGAAGGTGCAGATGCAAATTTTCAGCTGTAAGAGCTGAGATTTTAGGCAGTATATCGGGACCTTTTAACTTTATAGGTATTCCTATATGCCTATGTGTGAAATGAGTTTGGGGACAGGGTTTGTCTTCTCCATTGAGGAACTCTACTGGCCCTTGACCAACAGCCAATCTTTTGCTTCTACAAGGCTTGGAACCCAGTGAAGTAATTTCATTCTGGAGTTTTCAGGGTTAAGATCATTTTTTCAATTTAAATAAAGGACCATTAATTAATTCAACTTAAGTAATCAAACCAATTAAGCATCTATGTTCTAAGCACTGCTAAGTGCTAGGTATACAAAGATTAAAAACAAAACATCCCCAACCTACATTCTCTTGGGGGAATACAACATACATACAGATAATCTGAGAAGGAACAAAGTCCTAACAATTTGAGGTGGGAGAGATGATCGGGGTGGCTTCTAGGAGGAGGTGGCATCTGAGCTGAGTCTTAGAGGAAGATAAGGAACCTGAGCCATAGAGGCAAAGAAGGAGTGCATTCAAGGCAGGGAGGACCGGCAATGTAAAGGCACAGAAGTAGAATGTGGAGTGCTGGGTTTGGGGCACAAGCAGTAGGCCATTTTGGCTGGGATGTAGAACTTATGCAGGGAAGTGGTATGATCTGTAGGTTAGGGACAAATTGTGGAGGGCTTTAAATGTCACATTTGAGGAATACGTATTTTATTATAGTAGTGGTAGAGAGCCATTGAAGATTTTTGAGTGGGAGAGTAACATAGTTAGTCCTAAACCTTAAAAGGTTATTTTGGTAGATGTTTGGAAGACGCATTAGAGAGAATCAAGGATGTTGGTTAGGCTATTGTAGCTGTATAGGTGAGAAATCTTGTGGAGACAGAATCCACTTGGCCTAGTAATTGAATGGATGGGGCAGGGTGAAGGAGAGGAAAAGAGTCAAGAATGACTCTAAGATTGTGTACCTCATCAAATGGGAGGATGGTGGTGTCCACAGTAGAGTTAGAGCAGTTTGGAAGAGGGCCAAATTTGTTTTTCTTTTCTTTTCTTAATTTTTTTTTTGTTGAGGAGAATGGGACAGGGGTAAGATAATGCTGCGTTCATCATGTTGAGATCAAGATGCCTGTGGAACATCCTCCAGATGAAGGATGAACTTTAGAAAAGAATATATGTTCTGCTTCTAATATACCATGTTATGCCAAGAGCCTTTGCAGCAAGAGGGATTGTGATTTGACAGAAGGTAGAGCCTACCTTATGGTAAAGGCAGACAGGTGAGACAGATTAAGGTGAGAGGCTGAAAAACTCTCTTTTTGGGGGTCTCCTACTCTTAAAGATTCCCAAACTTGTCAGTAGTGGGAGGGCACAGTTCTGAATGAAGGCTCCTGATGGTGTGGTGTGCACAGATCTCTAGGTAAGCAGTCTGATCAGAAGCCATGAAGCAATTACCCTCTAGGATACTATCTAAAGAATTCTTTCCTATCCCCCATGCAGTTCTGAAGATGACAGTCCAAGGGCTGTCCTAGAAAGAGAACATCTCCTTCAGGTCTTAGATTTTCATAGTTAATAGCAACATCAGCAAATATGAAGGAAGGAAATGAGCAATTATTAAGCACCTACCACATGCCAGACACTGTGCTAAAAAGCTTTACAAATATTATTTCATTTGATCCTCACAATGACCCTGTGAGGCAGGTGCTAGTATTATCCCCATTTTACAGTTGAGAAAACTGAGACAAACAAAAGTCAAGTGACTTGCCCTAGGGTCATACATCCAAAGCTTGATTTGAATTCATGTAGTACTGCCTTCAGGCCCAGCTCTCTATTCACTATGCCACCTAGCCATAAACACCTACTATGTCTGCCTGGTTCTGTGCTTAGCTATCCTATGGAAGAGAAGACACTAATTCTAACCTCAGAGGAGCTTCAATCTAACCAGGAAGACTAGATTCTAACCTGACGCCATAGTAGTCAACAAACATTTTTCATATATATATATATATGTAAATGAGTGTCTCATGAGTGGTACAGGGTATAAAGTTTGTGGAGGGCAAGAGGGAGAAGAGGCTCCAGAAGTCAAACTTCATGATAGAGAGTATTTCTAATGAGTGAGCCTGGGGCCTTTCCTTGTCGGCCTGATGGCTGATCCTCACCACATCCTTCTTTTTGCAGGCTCCAAGAACTCTATTATGAAATGGTAAACGTTTTGAACCAGATGCTAGATGACATACCGACCAAGAAACGTTCATTCTCATCTGAGAAGTCTGTGGAATTTTAGATGTACTTATTTGAGGTGGGGCCATTCAGAGCAGTTCAAGGATGTTCCCATTGAACAAAGAAAACTGGTCTAAATCCAAATAAAAGTTTCTTTCCTGAAATCACTGGCTTTCCTTTGCTAATCAGTTGTCCTTTGTTTTAGAATTCAACCAAAATGACATCACTATGCTAAGAGTCGAGTTTTAGAACGTCTGACTGTGGCTGATCAGACCAATATGAGCTCAGAATGTTCTGCCACAGGTCAGGCATAAATAGTCTGTGTGAACATTTGGGGGTAGATTCTCTGAATCTACTCATCTTGTGTTTCTCTTGAGCGATTTCAATTCTGCTTTGCTCATAGAGCACAGCATCTTCTCTGATGCAGGCGCACCATGCTGAACGGTCCTGTGCCACTGTCTGCCACGTCATACAATCAATTCCAAAGTTCTTAAGAGAGACCTTGAAAGTGTCCTTGTATCACTTCTTCTGACCACCACATGAGCACTTGCCCTGTGTGAGTTCTCCATAAAATAGTCTTTTTGGCGAACATATGTTTTGCATTTGAACAATGTGGCCAGCCTGTCAGTTGTGCTCTCTGAAACAGAATTTGAATGCTTGGCATTCAAATAGTTGGAGAAAGGATCTCAGTGTCTGGTATCTTATCCTGCCAGGTGATCTTCATAATGTTCCTAAGACAATTCAAATGGAAGTGGTTCAGTTTCCTGGCATGGTGCTGGTATATTGTTTAGGTTTCACAGGCATACTAGCAGGAGGTCAGCACAATGGCTCTGTAGACCTTCAATTTGGTAGTCATTCTAATACCTCTTCTCTCCCATACTTTCCTTTGGAGCCTCCCATACACTGAGCTAGCTCTGGCAATGCATCAACCTCATCATCAATGTGTACATCCCTGTAAAATTACCTTGGTAGTATACTTTCCAGGGATATACAGCCCCACTGGGACTTTCAGTCAAAATCCTGGTCTACCTCAATCAATTTCCTTTCTCTTCCTTCAAGATTGGATGTTGTATGAGACTCTTGCTCTACAGACCACTTATGATTGTCAAATTTAACTTTAGGTTAATGATAATAATAATTAAAATTTATATAGTGCCTTAAGATTTGAAAAATAACTTTCTTTATGACCACCCCTTTGAGGTAGGGTGTAATGTTATCTTCATTTTACAGGTGATAAAACTAAGGCTTTAATTAAGTGACTCACCAATGCCTACTCAGCTAGTAAATTTCTGAGATGGAATTTATATTTGTGATCAAATCTGAATTCCCTCAGTCTATTTACTATGATAGATATGCTGACTGAGTGATTTCTAACACTGTTAGGAATGAGGAGGAGATGATTTGAAGACTTTGAAGACTGTAGTTAGATTTCTGCTCTTCACAAAGAGACCAATGTCTTTTAAGTAAGTGGTGAATTTGTGGCATAGGAACACCCTCAGTCCCCTTGGGTACTGCTCTGCAGTCCAACCCAGGGTGAAACGAAGGTATCCTTTTTGTGCCTCAGTCCTTCTCAATCATCCCTTCTTGATGGGAAAGTTGGAATAATGAGACCAGAATATAAAATGTCACAGAATGAGCTAGAAGGGCACTTCAGTGTCATCTGGTCCAACCCAATTATTTTTACAAAAGAGGAACCCAAGGCTTAGAGAGGTATTGGCTTGCCCAAGATCACACAGCTAGTCAGCAGCAGAGTCAGGACTAAAATTCAGACCACTGACTTCCTAATGCTGTGCTTTTCCCACTGCAGCCCTCTCAATATTCCTATTTGACAGATGAGGAAATGGTGGCTCAGAGATGGCAAGTTACTTAGGACCATATAATTGGAGCTGAAAGGGACCTTTGAATCCATCTAATTGGACCCCTTCATTTTACAGATAAGAAACTGAGGTCTTGAGAGGTTAAGTGACTTGAAAATATATTTAGGCTGAACCAGGATTTGAATCCATGTCCTCTGATTTTTGACACATATAGCATACTTTTTGGTGTACCATGCTGCCCTTTCACACAGGCAAAACCCAGTTTCAAAGCCAGAGTTTTAGATTCAAAACCTAACTGTCTCCTTTACTACACCATGCTACCATGTCATTACATTATAGAATCAAATCCCACATGTGATGGTAAAAATGGCTTGTGGCAAAGACCTTCAAATGCTTTGTCAAGAAGCATCTCTCTTAGCCAGAGAGCTCCTTCATTATGAGAAGCCCAGCTAGCCAGAGAATCATAGGGGGAATCAAGGCAGCCAGGCACGGGCAATGGGATTGATGCTAGTTTTAGTGAGAAAAGAGCTTTGACAGGGATGGGGGAATAGGAAGGACAGTGATAGAGACAGAGCAGCTCTGCTTTCCAGAAGATGGCTTCTGCACTCTTGAATTCCTATTGGGGTTCCCAGCAGAAGCCCTATGCTTTCTCTTTCCTCATGAGAGCACATTTCTATAGATGTTGCCTCCACTCTTCTATCTGCTATTAGACTGTTTCAGTCTGAGTTCCAACACATTTGTGACTACCGCAAAGGAAAGGGTTCTTAGTCGTGAATTCTTTCCCCTCGAAAACCCACTGTGGCTTCAGGAGTGACGTCCTCGACACCAGATAGAAGTTTCATCCTGCTTTTTAAGAAGGTTTTGATCTGACTGGAAACTGAGCTGGTCAGGGAGCTCAGGATAGGCAGATGCTCTTACAATTCCTACCCTTTTAGGAGATGTTTATGAGTGTTAGCAGAAGCTCCTCATAAAAAGCCCTGGAGAAACCAGTGACATCAGTTCCCTTTCCACTTAGTTTTCATGATCCCATTTGTAATAATTTCATGTTTTATGAGGAATGCTTCCTACAACATCCTCAGTCGAATGGAAACACATGTGAATCCATCAGATGTCCTGGACCTGCTCTCTGAGACCAGACAGCTTCAAACTCCCCACTGTTTAAAAGAGGCTCTCAGGAGAGATAGATAGGGAGTGGTGGAGGGTGGGGCTGATGACCTCTTTATAGAGTCACAGAATATTAGAACTTGAAGGGACCTCAGAAGTCATCCAGTCTTCTCCCTTCTTGCTTCAGAAAGGGCCAGACCTGAGGCCAATCAAGTTCACATTCTCTGTGAGAGGGAATATTTGTGCAGATATCATTGATAAACAGCATTGGAAGGGCCCTCAGAGGCCATCCAGTACAATACCTTCATTATTTCAGTTGAGGGCCTACAGGCCCCAGGACTTTAAAAGTGACTTGTTCAAGGTGACATAGGTCAGTCACCCAGAGCCATGTGAACCTAGAATTACTGACTCCAAAAACAGTACTCTTTCTGCCATACCACATTGCCTCTGTTCCTTGCCTAGAGAATTTTTATCATTAGTCATAAGTTCTCTCCTACAGGCAAGACTTGGCTGAAGGAATATGCCCTTGGTTGTGCTCCTGACAAATGTCTTTAAGTTCCAAAGAGGAGATTAGCTTGTGGGTTCCCAGGTTTGGGTTTTGAAGTGGAATTTGTCCAATATGGAACATGTAATGTATCATTGTCATTCATGCTAGCCTAAGAGAGAATGTGGAGGCAAGGCAGAAACTCTGAGGTAGTACCAGAGAGCAGGGAAAGGTGAAAGCTACAGCAGTAATGGAGGTCAAGGCTAGCCAGAGTCTACAAGTAGTTGGGAAGGCAAGATTCTAGACCGTAGGAATGGAATAACCAGAGCAAGATCATATTCCCGGCAGAATACAGGCCATCAGAGGCCTAGGCAAGGATGCAGTCATCAAGAGGACATAACAGAGGTCAGGATGGGGGAAAAGGGGTCAGGAGTCTGGATCAATCAATTCAATGAATGTTTTTTAAAGTACCTGTGTATTGTTAAAGTACCTATGGTGTTGAGTGTTGAGGGAGATAAACTTTTAGATAAAATACAGTTCCTGAACTACTCCAATGTAAATTAATACACAATAAATTCATTAGGAAGTTGCATGCAAAGTTCTGCATTTAGTCAGTTTGGTCAATTTATTTATTTAGTCAACAAGAAAAGGTCATTACTTACTAGGGGATTTAGGAAAGGCTTCATGGAGGAGATGGCATCGGATGTGTGCTATAAAGGATGAGTTTCAATGGGCAAAGACTACTAACAGAGCTAGGCAGGTCACTAAAAAAATAAACTTGATAATAAGTGACCCATGTGGGCACTTCTTAAGTTCTTCTGGTTGGAGAGGGGCTCAAATGTAGGATGTGGGCAGCCTAAGGTCCATAGAACATGGTGAACAAGTAAATTCACATAGAAAGGAACATTGGCCTAATTCTAAAAAGGTGAAATTCAATAACAGTTTTTAAGAAAATCCATTATACCAGTACAAGATGGGGAAGGAGTGACTGCTAGGTTAGTTCATCTGAAAAAGATCTGAGGGTTTGAGTGGCTTGCAAATGACCAGTGAGATATAGCAGCCAAGAAAGCAAATAGAAGTATAGGAGGAATTCAGATAGCCACAGGTTTGGAACATATCCTGAGTATTTGGTTGAATTTTGGGCATCCCATTTTAGGAATGACATTAATAAGCTGAAGAGCATCCAGGATAGTAAAGCCACTTTAATTTATGCATGTTAGAAGCAATTGGAGGATTGGGGTTGTTTAGTCTAGAGAAGAGAAAATGCAGTGGGGGACATAACAAGAGCTTCCAAGAATTTGCAAAGTTAATACATGGAACAGGGATTGTTTTTATTGTGCTTGCATTGAGAACAGAACTTGGAGTAATGAATTGAAGCTACAAACAGACAAATCTAGGTTTGGTGCAAGGAGAATCTTCCAAACAATTAAAGCTGTCCAAACGTGGAATGGCCTGTCCTCCACTTGTCTTTAAACAAAGGGCAGAAGACCACTTGTTGGATGTATCAGAGGCAGCCGAACTAGGTAAATTCAGAGGTCCCTTCCAACTCTGTGCTTTTGACACATGGGGAAAGGGGGCTCTCAGTAACTGCTGGCAGATACCACCTCATAAAAAGCCATAATCCCTCCTGTTTCTAAATTAGTTTATAGTTTCCAAATTTTTTATTTTTTTTGCAAAATAGTCCTGTAGGGTAGGTAGGGCAGGTGTTTTTTATCCTATTTTGAGGATGAGGAAATTGAGAATCAAAGAACTCAAGTGA